CCCTGCACTGCCCACCCTCCCACGCCCTCCTCACACAGAAACACCCAGCCCCCCACCACTCTCCCCACAGAGAAACACCCTGCCCCCTCACAGCACCACCTCCCCCAGCCCTAGCCAGAACGGCCTGCCCACCCTGCCCTCCCCAGCTGGCACCCCCTCTCTGGACACAGCCCCAGCCGCCCCCTCCACGGTTCCCTTTCCGCAAGGGCAGGGTGATGCGATGCGGCAGCAAAGCTGGAAACCTTCCCTCACCTTCCCCATCTCCATGGCCTCCTTCTCAATGAGCCTCTGCCCTGCCACCTCCTTCGCAGGCTGCCTGCCACTGGGCCTCTCCGGCCCGGCCTGCTGGGCCTCTCGCAGGGACTTGGTGCTGCAGGTGCTGAGGCTGCAAGAGGACGAGCGATGGGATGTCTTTGGGGGGGTTCTGCTTCGCTCTGCATGGAGCCTCCTGCTCCAGAACCCTGGCTGTGCCGGCGATTGGCAGAGACCAGCCTGGGACCCCCTAGCTGTGCCGGCGATTGGCAGAGACCAGCCTGGGACCCCCTAGCTGTGCCGGCGATTGGCAGAGACCAGCCTGGGACCCCCTAGCTGTGCCGGCGATTGGCAGAGACCAGCCTGGGACCCCCTAGCTGTGCCGGCGATTGGCAGAGACCAGCCTGGGACCCCCTAGCTGTGCCGGCGATTGGCAGAGACCAGCCTGGGACCCCCTAGCTGTGCCGGCGATTGGCAGAGACCAGCCTGGGACCCCCTAGCTGTGCCGGCGATTGGCAGAGACCAGCCTGGGACCCCCTAGCTGTGCCGGCGATTGGCAGAGACCAGCCTGGGACCCCCTAGCTGTGCCGGCGATTGGCAGAGACCAGCCTGGGACCCCCTAGCTGTGCCGGCGATTGGCAGAGACCAGCCTGGGACCCCCTAGCTGTGCCGGCGATTGGCAGAGACCAGCCTGGGACCCCCTAGCTGTGCCGGCGATTGGCAGAGACCAGCCTGGGACCCCCTAGCTGTGCCGGCGATTGGCAGAGACCAGCCTGGGACCCCCTAGCTGTGCCGGCGATTGGCAGAGACCAGCCTGGGACCCCCTAGCTGTGCCGGCGATTGGCAGAGACCAGCCTGGGACCCCCTAGCTGTGCCGGCGATTGGCAGAGACCAGCCTGGGACCCCCTAGCTGTGCCGGCGATTGGCAGAGACCAGCCTGGGACCCCCTAGCTGTGCCGGCGATTGGCAGAGACCAGCCTGGGACCCCCTAGCTGTGCCGGCGATTGGCAGAGACCAGCCTGGGACCCCCTAGCTGTGCCGGCGATTGGCAGAGACCAGCCTGGGACCCCCTAGCTGTGCCGGCGATTGGCAGAGACCAGCCTGGGACCCCCTAGCTGTGCCGGCGATTGGCAGAGACCAGCCTGGGACCCCCTAGCTGTGCCGGCGATTGGCAGAGACCAGCCTGGGACCCCCTAGCTGTGCCGGCGATTGGCAGAGACCAGCCTGGGACCCCCTAGCTGTGCCGGCGATTGGCAGAGACCAGCCTGGGACCCCCTAGCTGTGCCGGCGATTGGCAGAGACCAGCCTGGGACCCCCTAGCTGTGCCGGCGATTGGCAGAGACCAGCCTGGGACCCCCTAGCTGTGCCGGCGATTGGCAGAGACCAGCCTGGGACCCCCTAGCTGTGCCGGCGATTGGCAGAGACCAGCCTGGGACCCCCTAGCTGTGCCGGCGATTGGCAGAGACCAGCCTGGGACCCCCTAGCTGTGCCGGCGATTGGCAGAGACCAGCCTGGGACCCCCTAGCTGTGCCGGCGATTGGCAGAGACCAGCCTGGGACCCCCTAGCTGTGCCGGCGATTGGCAGAGACCAGCCTGGGACCCCCTAGCTGTGCCGGCGATTGGCAGAGACCAGCCTGGGACCCCCTAGCTGTGCCGGCGATTGGCAGAGACCAGCCTGGGACCCCCTAGCTGTGCCGGCGATTGGCAGAGACCAGCCTGGGACCCCCTAGCTGTGCCGGCGATTGGCAGAGACCAGCCTGGGACCCCCTAGCTGTGCCGGCGATTGGCAGAGACCAGCCTGGGACCCCCTAGCTGTGCCGGCGATTGGCAGAGACCAGCCTGGGACCCCCTAGCTGTGCCGGCGATTGGCAGAGACCAGCCTGGGACCCCCTAGCTGTGCCGGCGATTGGCAGAGACCAGCCTGGGACCCCCTAGCTGTGCCGGCGATTGGCAGAGACCAGCCTGGGACCCCCTAGCTGTGCCGGCGATTGGCAGAGACCAGCCTGGGACCCCCTAGCTGTGCCGGCGATTGGCAGAGACCAGCCTGGGACCCCCTAGCTGTGCCGGCGATTGGCAGAGACCAGCCTGGGACCCCCTAGCTGTGCCGGCGATTGGCAGAGACCAGCCTGGGACCCCCTAGCTGTGCCGGCGATTGGCAGAGACCAGCCTGGGACCCCCTAGCTGTGCCGGCGATTGGCAGAGACCAGCCTGGGACCCCCTAGCTGTGCCGGCGATTGGCAGAGACCAGCCTGGGACCCCCTAGCTGTGCCGGCGATTGGCAGAGACCAGCCTGGGACCCCCTAGCTGTGCCGGCGATTGGCAGAGACCAGCCTGGGACCCCCTAGCTGTGCCGGCGATTGGCAGAGACCAGCCTGGGACCCCCTAGCTGTGCCGGCGATTGGCAGAGACCAGCCTGGGACCCCCTAGCTGTGCCGGCGATTGGCAGAGACCAGCCTGGGACCCCCTAGCTGTGCCGGCGATTGGCAGAGACCAGCCTGGGACCCCCTAGCTGTGCCGGCGATTGGCAGAGACCAGCCTGGGACCCCCTAGCTGTGCCGGCGATTGGCAGAGACCAGCCTGGGACCCCCTAGCTGTGCCGGCGATTGGCAGAGACCAGCCTGGGACCCCCTAGCTGTGCCGGCGATTGGCAGAGACCAGCCTGGGACCCCCTAGCTGTGCCGGCGATTGGCAGAGACCAGCCTGGGACCCCCTAGCTGTGCCGGCGATTGGCAGAGACCAGCCTGGGACCCCCTAGCTGTGCCGGCGATTGGCAGAGACCAGCCTGGGACCCCCTAGCTGTGCCGGCGATTGGCAGAGACCAGCCTGGGACCCCCTAGCTGTGCCGGCGATTGGCAGAGACCAGCCTGGGACCCCCTAGCTGTGCCGGCGATTGGCAGAGACCAGCCTGGGACCCCCTAGCTGTGCCGGCGATTGGCAGAGACCAGCCTGGGACCCCCTAGCTGTGCCGGCGATTGGCAGAGACCAGCCTGGGACCCCCTAGCTGTGCCGGCGATTGGCAGAGACCAGCCTGGGACCCCCTAGCTGTGCCGGCGATTGGCAGAGACCAGCCTGGGACCCCCTAGCTGTGCCGGCGATTGGCAGAGACCAGCCTGGGACCCCCTAGCTGTGCCGGCGATTGGCAGAGACCAGCCTGGGACCCCCTAGCTGTGCCGGCGATTGGCAGAGACCAGCCTGGGACCCCCTAGCTGTGCCGGCGATTGGCAGAGACCAGCCTGGGACCCCCTAGCTGTGCCGGCGATTGGCAGAGACCAGCCTGGGACCCCCTAGCTGTGCCGGCGATTGGCAGAGACCAGCCTGGGACCCCCTAGCTGTGCCGGCGATTGGCAGAGACCAGCCTGGGACCCCCTAGCTGTGCCGGCGATTGGCAGAGACCAGCCTGGGACCCCCTAGCTGTGCCGGCGATTGGCAGAGACCAGCCTGGGACCCCCTAGCTGTGCCGGCGATTGGCAGAGACCAGCCTGGGACCCCCTAGCTGTGCCGGCGATTGGCAGAGACCAGCCTGGGACCCCCTAGCTGTGCCGGCGATTGGCAGAGACCAGCCTGGGACCCCCTAGCTGTGCCGGCGATTGGCAGAGACCAGCCTGGGACCCCCTAGCTGTGCCGGCGATTGGCAGAGACCAGCCTGGGACCCCCTAGCTGTGCCGGCGATTGGCAGAGACCAGCCTGGGACCCCCTAGCTGTGCCGGCGATTGGCAGAGACCAGCCTGGGACCCCCTAGCTGTGCCGGCGATTGGCAGAGACCAGCCTGGGACCCCCTAGCTGTGCCGGCGATTGGCAGAGACCAGCCTGGGACCCCCTAGCTGTGCCGGCGATTGGCAGAGACCGGCCTGGGACCCCCTCGCTGTGCCGGCGACTGGCAGAGACCGGTCTGGGATCCCCTGGCTGTGCC